CACTTTGATTTACTTCCTCTGCGTTTAATAAAAACCAGGCTGCCAAAATGGGGTTTATTTTAACTCCTTTGTTTTACATTAGATCCAACTTTTCCTAAGCACCTGGAAAGTATTAAAGTGAACGAATTAATTAAAGTTAGAAATTGGATTCCTTTCCATTTTGCAGAGTGATACTACCGCTACTATACTTGAAACCTTTTTCAAACGTTTTATGTGTGCAGTGCTGTAAATCTGTACAAGCAGCCAAAAAGCAACAGCTTCAACATGTAAACATAAAAGTGGACGACCTTTTAACAACCCAAAGCTTTGCATGAGAGAAATAAACCATCAGCTGCATAGCTGCCATGACATTTGCAGAGAAAAGCCCTAACACAACATAAATCACCAGGACTTTCTCAGAAACAGCAACACAGAGTAAAATATTAGCTGCAGGAGGAGCAGCAGCTTCACTGCTTCGCTTCTCTGAAGCTACATTTTAAGAGAAAAAGTCAAAAACACTGAACTGCTAGTTCCCAGAAAGACGAGCTTCTCCTGACTGCGTGAGTCAGAGTCTGGTTATCATTGGGAATCCCTGCTGTGAGATTAATCATAACGCAGTGAGCAACTGAGTCCGACTTCAGTCACCATCACTGAGGAGACACGCCCACAACTAACAAGAGCAATCAGAGGCAGAAACGAGGGAAAATGTGAGTTACATTTGTGGATAAAGTAGTGCTGCTCCTCTGGTTATGAACAAAACACCCACAATAGTCACGGAAATAACTTGAAGCTGGCAAAAGAAATAACGAAAAAAAATTCACTGGAAAAAAATCTATTTAAAAAAATTAGATTTTGACAAATTCCAGTCAATAAAAATAATTGTAATAGTCAACTCCAAAATTTTAAAAAGAAAAGTGAAACAAATTAGTAAAAGAATTTTAGAAATAAAATTATGTTAAATTAATGGAGTTGAAAATGATGAACAAATGATTACTGTATAATCAAATAAGATGGAAAAATGATTTTATTGGATTCATTATTTGGTACGTTTATTAATTTATCAAACAATTTATTGATTTATTATCACTAATTTTGGCAGGACTGAGCCTCCATAAGGTCAGCAATGAAATTAAAGCAGCTTTTGAAATAGAAATCCCCTAAATGTGCTTAATATGTATCAAAATATTTGATGACATTTTGAAAAAATATATTTTTAAATTCAGATTGTTAATAATCTCAAAAAATAAGGAGATCCTGAAGTCATGAAACTTGCTCAGTTGTTGGAGTTTTAATGCGAAGTCAGTCATTCAGATTTTGTTTACTGTATCAGCCTGTATTTCTTTGATAATTAATGTCATGAATAGATTAAAAAGGAAAAGTTTCCTTCAAATTAATTGTTGTAGTTCATAGAAACTCTTTATTATAGTGTTTAAAATGTTTTACAACATCATTACAGACAACCTACATTGTTGACTTTCGCTTTAATAATAGGAAAAAATTATTTAAAAATCGTCTCATTTGTGAATTTGACTTTAAGAAAGAACAAAGTAACTTTAGCTTTAGAACAAAAGTCAGAGAAGAAAAGCTCAATCTCAAAGCAACAGTGAAATTTCTGGAAAAAAAAGAAGAAAGGTAAACATTTATGTTTTTGATGATAAATCTCACTGACTTATGAATTAACCACTTTAACATCTTTGCCTTCAAACACATCAGCTGAACTCTTGGATTTCCTTTTTCATTCAGGTACAAACATCTGTTCTTCACACAATGACTATCAAAACCATCAGCTCCAGATTGAAACAGGAGGATTTAAAAGTCACAAAGGCGAATAATTAGCCACTAATTATCCTTTTCCACACAGTCAACACCTCCTTTAACCAAATAAGAAACAAAATGATCCTTTTCTGAAAATGTAGGAAAAAATTGCATGAATCACTTCAAACAGACTCTTCTGCTCTTTCTGCTACGACTTCATTATTAGATATGTGTGGTAAATCCATCGTACCTATAAATATGTTCAGCTCAGCATTCGTTTGCAGCGTGCCCTTGATTTTTTTCCTCTTTTTATTACAGGGTTGACATTATAAAGTTACTTTGATCCTTTCCCCACCTCCCCGCTGATGGCGTCATTACTTTCTGGAAGGTCAGCCTCACAGTCAGTGTTTCCTTCTGTGACTCGTAAGGAGGCAGACAAACATCTGGTCCCAGTAACGTGTCGTCATCCCGCAATCACTGACAACAACTTTAGTTTCAGTTTGCCCACCATGTGCTTCTAATACACAATAAAACCTTCAGGGATTTAATCTTTCAGTCACTGATTTACGGTTTTCATTTAGAGCTCTAAAATATGAACTTTGATTCTGTTTTTTTTTTTTTTGGGGAATGTAATAAATACCGTTTTTAGTAGGCAAAAGTTTTTACCTCTTTGTTCGAGTTTTCAGAAACGACATGATGTTTGAATTAAATGGCGAAAATAAGGAACTACTCAGTTCTGATGTGTTTGGGAAACTTTGTAAATCATCACCTCTTTAACTTACTGACTGACTCCCATTCCTCTCAGCAAAATTAAAGAGGCATGTGAATCTGATTTAAGAGGCAATGCAGATCAAGACGCCACTGTGGGGAAAAAACAGGAAAAAAGGATCAGATGGATTTCTAATCGCACAGTTTTGACATCATGCTTACAAAATAAGATTGTTAGGTTTTAAAAAGTCCGATTCTACTACATTTTTTCTTTCAAAATCGTAACAGAGCAGAAATAATGTTCATAAAAGGCTAAGCAGTTCACAGGTGAATCAACAGAGATCAAACTGACACTTCATTAAATATGGAGTCCCACAAGGTTCCATGTTTGGCTCTAAACCCTTTAAGGTTTATGTTGACATCTGTCAGGTATAACGTAAAATTAATTAGAAATTAAATATCTGGAAGGACTAAAATATAGAATAATTTGGATGAGAGTTAAAAAAGTTATCAAACTATTTAGATGCCCTGAATTTATGAACTAATGTTTTAAATGTTTTAGTTAGCTAACTGAACATTTATATTAATTCTGTTTTCTGTAATATGAAAGTTAAATTTCTTCTTTCTCCTTCCTTTTACCCATGAAATGTTGAAAAGTTTTAAAACTTGTTTTAATTTTATGATAAAGAGTAAATGCTGAAATGCTTTAATAAAATTAGTACAATAAGAGCTGGAAACGGCAAGAATGACATCATCCTGAAGGAGCATGTGATAATAGCCTTGTTAAATGACCCTGTTACATTATGGTTTTATTCACTGGAAGCTGAAAAGTTTGGTCAGTAATTTTGTAATAATCAGAAGCTTTAAGAAAGTCAGTAATCCATCGTGCAAGATGCGAGATGGAGTCACATCAGTCCAAACGATTCACTGCTTCACTGCTAGAACAAAACGACGTGATTCAACTGGCCTGAACTTTCTCACTCCCTGTTAGAGGAATCACTGATCCTGTGTGAGACTCACGAAGAAGCTCTGACTCTTCCTGTGAAAACTCGAGAAGTAAAGCCATCCACAGAAGCTGCTGGTCGTCTTCAGTCTGTTCTGACTTTATCCATCTCTCATCCGCAAAACCGGGCAGGAACTCACTGCAATGATCAATTAGGTCTGGCGAGAGCATCGTCAGGTTCACCTTTCCTCTATCCAGGACCTGAAGAGCTTTGAGAGCAGCTAATATCTCTGCAGATCCCACACAAGCTGGACACTAACATTTAAGTGCTACAAAGCATTTTTTAGCAAAAATCAGTTGCTACGCAGACAGTTTAAACTTCTTCCAGGCTGTATCTCTGATGGCCTTTACTTTACTGCACTCTTCTTTCTTTTGTTTTCTTCATCTAAACAAAAATAGTTTATAAACATTTGTACTGAAAGTGTTTGAAGCTGACGTCAAATTCCTTGGCCAATAAAGTTGATTCTGATTCTCTACAGTTCATTTGACGACATTGGTTTCCCGGCAAAGCCCTGGTTTTTAACTGTAGTCCACAAATAATTTAAGAGATTCAGAAGCGCAATGTCTAAATGTTTGAGATCACTGAGCCAAAAACCTCCTTTTTCATCACTTCATCCGCTGGAAGAAGTGCAGCCGAACAGCATAACGCAGCTCCACCGTTATGAGTCAATCAGGGAACATTTTGACCTTGCTTTTGCTCTTAGTACATTTGAAATACAACAACTTACAACAAAATATTGGAGCTTGGTTTTAAGTCAATAAAAATAAGCAACTGATTAAAAATGCACTATTTTGGCCAAAAAAAGAAAAAGCTGTAAAAAAAAAAGAAAAGAAAAAAGATCAAAACCCCAAAATAATATGATATTCACATCTGTGATAAAAGCATTTAAACTTGTGATGGGCTATGTGGGTCAAAACCCTGGAAGTTTCTGGGAGGCTGCGATTAAGTGCATGAAAAGGTAACAGGAGCCGACAGTCAATGCTCCATCCGGACTTTTAGGAAATCAAATTAAAGCAGTCTGACCTCAGTTTAAACCCGACAGATTCAGAGACTTGTGAGGGTAAAACATCTACGGCTGGTACAAAACGTTGGTGTCGAAAAAAATGATAGCAGCCATTCCTGAGGAATCGAGAGCCGATGTGAGAGTTTGGTTCTGGTAACGTTTTAGTTTGATTAGGATTCATGCTTTTACTATTTGAGAACGTGCTTTAAATTGCTAGAAAAAAAATCTAAGTGAGTTGCAGTTTACAAAAACTTAATTTTCACATCACAATGTCACAGTGAATTTCAATAAATTGGAAGATTTGTCAAATTAAAAGTATATTTTAAAATGTTCTGATCAGAAGAGCATCATAATGAACTGACATTATACAAATTATAAAATGTTTTTTCACTTAGAGAATGTACTGAAATAAATCGACGAGTGGATAACCTAAGATAAACCGCAATCCTCCTCATATAAATTAATATAATTTGTACAACTTTGCTTTCCATTGTGCAACACTTTCAAGTTGTATAACAACTACATCTGGTCTGATGTCACATCAGTCTTACCGCCTACGCTTCTGGACGATGTCTATGGGCCGGTTGACGGCGCACGGTGACCCACAGATGTTCCCGCTCCGCACTTTGAAGCAGCGATCCTGGACCGAGGGCGCCAGGTACATACAGTTATTCGGTAAACTCATCTCTGCGATTCCTGTGAGTTCCCCCTCTGCCTCGGTCTCCACTATTTGTCCTCTTGCTCCAGCGAGCGTTCCTCTGCTCCTCGGCTCCTGACGTCTCTCTGCTCTCCGCTGCAACATGTCTCCAGTGAGACGCGGGCGGACGGAGGGAAGCCCTCCACGGCGCGATTCGGGGGCATGACTCCAGTCCGAGGGAAGAGCGACAGGGAATGAAAGCAGGGTGGGATTCAAGGAGTTATTTCCTCCATGGCCTTCTGCTGCTTCATGTGGTGAAACAGAAGCGACCGGCTTCGAATCCACATGGACAAGTTCAGAGCTGAACTCTCCTTCTAATCCCTCCCTTCACGGCTCACTCGCTGTGGCTCTTTCTGTGTGCCTCCTCCTTCCAGGCTTAAAAAAACAAACACATGCATGTACAGTATGTGTGGCAAGAGTGAGAGACGAGAGCAGCCTTCAGCTGGATCTGCTGCACCGTGTGTGAGCAGGAGGTGAATACTTTGTGGTGTTTGAACAAAGACACGGACATCTCAGAAATCGGAAAATCAGATCATTTCTGATCCCTCTTCGGTGTGGAAGTTGTTACTGCAAGAGGAAGACTTGAATTAGAAAGCTGCAGTATCAGAAAGATGTTTGCTTCTTTGTCTTTTGTACTTTTCAAGTCTTCTGCCACAAAAACATTTATCACAACTCAAATCTGGAATTCTGACTAGGCTTGGTTCCAGCTCAGTTGGGCAAGATTCTGGTTGGTTCTCTTTTTCTCCGATTTTTTTTTTTCACATGGTAAGGTAATTATGTCAATTTTTTTATCCCAATTTCCCTTCCAACAATCTTAAGGACGCTCTGACTATCGGGTTGGTTCAAATAATAATGCTACAGGTGATCTATTACTCTCCCTTGAACAAGTCAAGATTGATCTAAGGGTGACAAAATGTGTTCTTCACATTTAATGATATTTTATTAAATGTTCTCAATTCTGTCTGATTTTAGCTCTTTTTGGAATGAGCTGTTTTAGGGTGTCTTGACACGTTAAAGCCGAATCAGCTGCTGCTGGCCGTGGCTCCAAACTCAACGCTTAAACTCTCACGTGAAAATGGCTGAAATACAACCTTACATTTTTGAAAAGCAGACGTGGCGCCTCCTGCACAGCCAACAAGAATGCAGCAAGTGGTTTCTGAAGGGTAAGTCAACAACTGAACACGTGTCTTTTCCAGCAGCCATTGTACAGCACGTACAGCGGTAAAACCAGCTGACCAAATGTGCTGGAGCTCAACTTGGGTTGCTAGACAATGGCCTGGGGTTTTCTGAGGTTGCTAGATAATGGGAAATGCCTGCTGATTTGTGACATTACAGGTCATTTTAGAAACACCAGAAAACTTTAACCTATTTTAAAAAACAACTGGTGGGTTGTTCTGCTTGTAAACCCAACAGAAACCCAAACGGAAGTACAAAAACAAGCAAAATGTGAATTTTGCATAATAAATCCCCTTTAAAATTCAAAGTCCTGCCATGTGAACTAGCTAAATCAACCAATCAGCTTTGGGAGAGAAGTTAATATATCACATTACAGAGCCAGTTCAAGTTTTTATACTAATTTATTTTGCTACGTTAATTAAACTATCCCATGAAGAAGCTGCTTTGTCTCAAGTTTTGCAACATTTAATAAGCAAAGTAAGAAAACCTACAAGTTTACACTCAAAATTTTAACACAACTCCTACTTAGCTAACTTTAAAGATAGCAAAAGTTCACCTGGAAGGCGAGACGACACCAGTTTCAGTGTTCAGTAACGGCAGCAGTGGGATCTCTTTCACCGTAGGGACCGATTGGACTTACTGGAACCCACTGATGTCACAAAGTGGCAGGCCCCCCCACTGTCAACACTGCAGGCAAATATTTGTCTTCTGAGACAGCAAGAGATGGACGTGTTGGCAGTCACAGGCGGGAGTGGAGGTGGACGGCAATGACAGACCATTTAAATAAATAATTGTAGAGTCTAACCAGATGGGCTGATGTGGCGCTGACAGGGCAGCAGAGGCAGGGATTTCACTTTGAAGACCTCTCCACACCAACATGGGTATTTAGAAAAACTGCACATTTTTTGTTGAGTTTGCACCACAGTGGGGGTTTTAAAGACCATCTGAGGTCCATGGAAAACATGCAGGATAATAGTCAATGTTTCCAATAATTGATCATTGAGAAAACGAAGCACAGCATGTCATCACACAAATCTGTGGTGGTGGAGGGTTGATGAGATGGGCTTGTTTTTGTGAGAATTTGGTTTTTCTGTGTATTAATTTAGGTTTCTCCGTTCAGTTTGTTCTCCGTGTTGATTATTCCCAGCTGTCCTTCGTTTCTGGATTACCTTCCTTGTGTGTTTAATCCCACCTGTGCTCCCTGTTCCTGGTCAAGTCCTAGTTGTGTCCTCTGCCACCTGTGCTGCCTGGATTTTTGTTCGCTGGCATTTTCATTAAACCAATCTTTTTCCTTCTCAGTCAGGGTCCCCCGCATTTATCCTCACCACCTCAATCCGCAAATCGTGACAGTTTTGTAGAGCTGGGCACCTCACAGAGTCAACCTCTGATTATCAGAATATTTGAGAATTAAATGTAATGCCAGTAAATCTGTAATTAGCACCAAGCCGACCAAACAACTATCAGAATCAATGCAAACTCAAATGCAGCAGCGTGTGCACGACTATCGCACCTCGATGTGTCAGCTTCCCACGCAGCATTTCCTTTGAATATTTCACATATGTTCTACAAAAGAATCTGCAAACAGGAAATTTTCTGAGAAAACATTGCAGCGACGTGAAACAGTACAATCTGCAAACGCTGAATCATAAACAGGCGGGGATCTACTGTAAACTGTTTCCAAAATATAATAACATTAAAATATACACGACATCCAAGAATTTTCAACATTTACCTCCAAAATAATAAAAAAAATACTACAAATAATACTGCCACGGCTACCATTTCCTTCTTAAATTTCTATAACAACATTGCATAACATTCTGATGATATCTAACTAACTTCATGAATCTTATATTATTTCTGTCCCAATTAAAGGAAAAGTCGCAGATGCCTCTGTTAACAGGGTTACATCACTTGAACTGCTGCTACACTGACGGCTCCGTTGTTCAAAAACATGGGGAAAAAAATCTATTCCTTCTGCCAGCATGTTTCAGAAGAGAAAAAATAATCGCTTTCTGTCATTCCAGCATATTAAATTATGAGCAGACCAGACCAGTGACCTCTGGTTCATCGCATGTGCATGTCTATACAGCATGATGATATAATTTCCTCATTTCTGAAAAATTAGAAGCAAAGTGTTGTGCAATTAGTGATCATAAACAAGTTCACTGCAAAAACACATAATCTCACCAAGTATTTTTGTCTTTTTCTGGTGCAAAATTAACTTACAAGTAACTTTTCACCAAGATATGGGCGCTTGTTTTAAATACTGGTAAAAAGTATTAGTTCCACTGCCAGATTATTTTACTTATGATGTGGAAAAAAATTATTTTTTTAAGGGAAATAATCTGCCAGTGAATTTAATACTTTCTAAATCTATTGTAAGGAATTATTGACATAAACAAAGTCTTATATATTGCTGAAAAGTCACTTAAGTGAGTTTTGTCTTATTTCAATTGTCAAAGATATTTGCTAGAAACTAGTAACATTTTTTTCTGTGTTTGTGAAGCAAATCATGAGTATAATTATTAAGAGGAACCATGAGCAAAAATCCAACATGGAAACTGAAAATGAATTTTATTGACATTTTAAAATAATAAAAACAAAAACTGACACGGCAAAACAAGAGCTCAATCAAGCACCCATGAGCAAAAACACATGAAAAAACATCCAATTCCCCTCCAGCTGCTACAGACTGAAGCAGGTTGTGATCCAGATTTGTTTTCTCATCTAAAGAGTTGGCCTTGTTGAATTTGCATGTCATAATGTTTCCTCGGGAGCGTGAGTAACACAATACTGCAGAACATCCCGTCCTGTTTATCAGCCTCCTGGCAGGAAAAGCACTAAAACCTCACACCTTTTATTAAAGGTAAACAGAACATAGAGCTAAAACAGCACAGGTTTGTTTTAAATCATTAAAACCAGGTGGACATTTGCTTCTCGACAAACTGTCAGGCATCAGCGTCCAAATAAAATGAAAGCCTTGCTGTAACGCTTTAAGTGGTCGTCATTATGAAGCTTAATGAAGGATTTCTAAAGTTTTCTTTGGCTAATTTCTCACTCAACATGCAAAAAAAGTACATGGTAATACACATCAAACTTTAAAAACAGCAGAACGTTACTGGAAAGCAGTTTTTTTAAGAAAAAACAGTAAAAACCTGATACTGAATCTGAAAGATTCATCAATCATGAAGTTCATCACGTGTTGTATTTCAACCTCATTATATATTGACCTACAAGTAATTTTTCAGTAAGAAATCTGAGCTTATTTTATGTCAATAATTCCTTAATATTGGTTGAAAAAGTCCCTGTTACAAGTGAAAATATGAAAAAATTGTTTGAAATAAATAAATCAAATAGCTCCCATCTAGATTATTGCATGTTTCCACTCATAATGATTTAATGCTGGTGATGAGCTCCAAGTCATGGACAGTGGAAAGTCTCTGCGCCACAACCCTAATCTTTAGCTCCATCCTCAGATTCTCCAGCAAATTCAGTTCACTAAAAACACTAATATTATATCTAATCAGAGGAAATATAGCTAAATCAAGACAACTTAAAACGATCAGTTTCTCTTATTTTACTTTTTATCTGTAAAATATGTTTGAGTAAAATGAACATTATTCTTTTATTTTTTGACCTCCTGGAAATATGTCTCTGAAATTTCCAGCCAATATTTAGTATTTATTTGCTGAAAATGAGAAATGGAGTAATGAAAAACGTTCAGTGCTTTCAGACCTAAAATAATGCAAAGAAAACAAGTTCATATTCATTTAGAAACAACAATACAGATGTTTTAACTCACTATTGCATTAATAATAGTGAGTTCACAGGGGGTTTTGTTGTTGATGACAACTATTAAGAACACAGTGCAACAGTGAGCGCCTGCGCCCAGTTTCCGTTGGCTTGCTAAATATTTCCAATCTTGACCAAACAATTAATCATTCGGATCTTTATCAGGCCATCTCACCTTTGGCTTCTTTCTCCAATGCAAGTCAGATAACGTAAATAGCAGCGTTAACTTATATTTACCCGTTAACAACACAGAGAGTGATAGTTAGCGCCTCTGCTGCTCACTGCGTTCTATGCGCCCACTGGTGGCGAACTGCTGTAACTACAGCTTACTGCCTCCCTCCGTCCCTT